AATTTTTCATGTCCTTGACGTCTCATTTCTTAAGGATTAAAATGAGGTTGGCGCTTTTCTAACATACTGGTACCCTCCTTGTCAGAAGAAACTTTGTGTATAAGGTAGTCAGTTTTTCTAACACAATCTCTTCACCATCTTTCAGCAGGTTCGTTGTTATGTTATCCTCACCAGTGGTTTTGTCTCCTTGCATTCCTTTTAGCACTTTCAGTACTTCTCTTGCCGTTAATGGTAGGATGTCAAATTTCTCTGGGCTATTATTGCTTCTTAAGGTATCATCCCGTTTGTTCTGGCTTTTGTACAGCCCTTTGTAGAACTCCTCCACCACCCATTCTATTCATATTGGTTGTTACTTTGCCTTCCTTGTCTTTTAATGCATACATCTGATTTTTGCCTATGCACAAGGTTGCCTTCGCAGCTTTCAGGCTTTTTCCATTTTTTACCGCATGTCTCTTTGGGCATGGCGACAAAGAGCCAGCTCATCTTCAATATACGACATACAGTCGAGCCCATATTTAACGGATCCATTTAAAACAATCCCAGGATTGAAGTGCAAACTCCCAATTCTTGAACCAGGTCCTTGCTGTGTCTTCCAGGTAAAAGTAAACAAAACACAGCTTATCGTCCGAGTCCCACTAGTTCAAAGCAGCCATTCGGTCATACGTCTTTAGCAACGTCTCCGGTTCTTCAAATGATGATCTATGGAAGGTTGGTGGCTCCCTTGGCTGCTGCTTTACGATCGTGGCACATGTTGGTACAGGGGCTGTCATTGTTGAGTCTGAGTCTTTATTTCAGGCATGCATACAAAAAAATACGTGGCTGAGGAGGAGGGGGAAAAAGCCACACTGACGTGTCTTGACGTTGCTCCCTTTTCCCGTGATACATCAGAACTGCGGTATGCACGAAAACAGAAATAGCACAGGCTAATGTGTAGCATAATGAACAAAAACTCAAAAGTAGTAAAACTCTGTGCACAATAAAAATGGGCAATACTACAAAAACACGTCTCCAGATATAATAATTAAGGCTGCGTATACAAAATATAATTAAAGTGGTAGGGAAACGCACACATCAACGAAATAAGTTTCGAAGAGAGTTAAAGGAAAGTTGGCGTATCGAGGTGTAAGAAAAGCCAAATTTGTTAAGCAAAGAAAACAATGTGTAGCTTAGGGTTTGAAAGCCATGGTTAGTTCGCGGGTGAGGCACAAACCAATACTTGTGGTGCCTTGTAAGGTAGTAAGAAATGTTGGTGTGGAGGTTAGCGACTTCACATAAGAACAATATGTCGTGTTCAATCTGTGATCTGTAGATCTGTAAAAGACGATGATGGTGCTTGTTGGTTAAGTGCATGATACGATAGGTGGTAAACAGTGGTTCAGAATGCGTTCTGTTAGGCATGTCAGCAATCGCTCCAAGGACATTTTTTGCATTGAGATTAGTTGTCGTAGTAGTGGTGGAGGCCTTGGGCTTGCGAGTGCTATCTGGTAAAGCCCCACACTCTGGCGCTAGACCTTGTTGCCTACGGCTGACTCACTGGTCGTGGTTGCTGTAGGTGTCTTCTCCACGAAGTGGACTGTTGGAGGGGCGTTTACGGTACATGGATCGGGAAGCAGCTCCACCAGATGTCACGGGGTCGTCGGGTCGACGAAGGGGGCAGACTGTTGGTTGACAATTAAAGTGTTTATTCTGCCGAACTTGTTGCCTGTCGCCAAGCACACTGATAGTGGTGAGCTGAGCGTCGGCCATAGATCAATTGACAAGCAATGAGGCGCGTCGGCATTTATTCACGTTCCATCGAATATTCTAACATTACCGTTAGCAGTGATGTAGGTTCCAGAATAATCTGTAGTGTTTGCAAAGTGAGTGTAATCTTAACAGAATGATCTACTACTTCAATCCTGAAGCTTCTCGAACACTGCAGGCATGGTTTGCGCTGAAAATCTTTGGCAGTAAATAGGCGCCATAAGAAAACTTAAAGGGGGAATGTGGGAATTGCGTTAGGTAGCCGGTATATGCCATGGGCCTTGGCAAAGAGCACGCTGCTGCTTTAAATAAACTCCAGGACCACCCTTATCGCTTCTGCTCTTCGAAATACATGTATGTCAGACTTTTTTGGGGAAAGAAATTTGGAGTCACACTCAAGAATTTTTTTAAAGCTGTGTTTCATTTACTATGAACTTCGGGATACAACGAACACATGCCGCGTCGCGCTCAGGTTAGTTATAAGCGAGCTCAACTTTACGCGATTCAGCTTAATCTCGATTCCGAAGAATTGCCGGGCATCGACTCTGTACCCAACGCCTTTCTGATAAGGTATGCAGAATAGAGTGCCATAGCTATGCTTGATCTTTAAATCATTTCTCTTGCACACGGAACTTCCGAGTGATTGGAAGCACGCTAAGATCACGCCAGTACCGAAAACTGGTGATCATTCGCTTGTATCCTTGTTTAGTCCTAGCTCCTTGCTATGCACTAGTGTCAAAATTCTGGAGCATATAATATTCATACATCTGTCTATGCTTGTCCAAAAAATAACCTAATCACACCCCTTCAGCACTGCTTTCACAAAGGATATACGGTAACCCAGCTTATCGAGACATGACCTGGCAACAACGATCGATATGGTCAAAGTAGACGTTATATTATTGGATTTTGAGAAAGCTTTCAATCGTGTCAGTCACCAGAAATTACTAATTAAGCTCAAATCAATTCTGAAAAATGAGAAATCACTTGCACGAAGAACTGCTTATTATCAATGAAAAGCCCTTGTGTTGCCATTGATGGTGTCACCTCGCGTTTCACCCCCGTGACATCAGGTGTGCTTGAAGGGTCAATTTGGGGCTATTGTTTTTTCTGTTACCTATTAATGATATTGTGCTAAATCTACTCATAAAAATGAAGCTTTTCGCAGACGATTGTATACTATATCAGAAAATTCATAGTTACAGTGATTAAGAATCTTTAAATACTGCACAAGCACTGCTACAAATGTAGTGTGAGAAATGGCAGATGACAATTATAAAAAAACAGCAGCAATGCCAGTTAAGTGTAAGAAACAGCTGCATCTTTTTACCTATCACATCAATAATCATGCATTATCCGAAGTCACTAAACACAAATATTTAAGACTAATACTCGCATCAGACTTAAAATGGAATGAACACAGAATATATTGAAAGAATCTCTGGGAAATGAAAAAGCTTGGCTATTTGCAAGGAGGCTTGTGAATGCCACACCGCACATCAAACTTCTCGCTTACAAAACATTTATTAGACCAGTATTAGAATACAGAGCTGCATTGTGAGATCCCTTTACTGAGTCCAATATTAAAAAAAAACTAGAATTGGTCCAAAGAAAATCTGTTCGATTTGTGTTTAATTGTTATAGTTGGCATACATCACCTTCACTTCTTTTAATTAAAGTGGAGCTCGAAAAACTGCTGGAGAGAAGAAGAATGGAGAGGGTCAAGCTTTTTTACCTCATTTTCCATAACAAAATTGCAATCAACAAAACAGTGCACATTAGACAAACAAGTGAATATACTGTGCACTAATATCATTCAAAGAAACTGGTAGATTACATAAACTGCACAGACACATTCAGGTATTCATTTTTTTCAAGAACTGCTCTTGAGTGGGATTGCCTATCACCTGATACTGTAGAGTGTCCAACAGTTAATTTATTTCTACATGCTTTCAACAACTACTAACAATTTTTTTATACAGCCCAGAGTTATGCAATGCTTCCATTTTAATCGGTACGTTTCAGTCAGTAAAACTTAGCCATTGTTATAATGTTTTTCTTTTGTTTTTTTACAAATTGCTGCAGAAGTGCTGAATTGTATGCTTTGTATTACATTGTACATTATGCTTTCCGTTTGGCTTTTTACAATTATTACCGCTCTCAGTATGTTGTGTGATGTTAATTATGTTTTTGCAGTAAATAGTTTTGTATGCGCATTCCTGCTTAAGACCTGGTAAACAGGTCAGCAGTACGTAATAAATAAATATAGATTCATACGGCCCTTGGATGTGAGTGGCAAGTTTCTGTTTGGCCGCTTCAGTGTACCCTGCAGATGTGCTGTGCAATCAGGAAAGTCAGTTTCATGGTTGTGGAACCATGTCTTAACGACCTCTTTGAAGTAAAAGGGGACATGGCGTAGTTTGTCTGTCTTGTCCCAATGATTACAAGCACTGGTTTTGTTGTAATTGTCAAGCCACTCATTTCATCCACCAAGGTTGTGAAATACTTTAGTGTTTCGTCGTGGTGTACTCACGGTTTAAGAAGGGCCAGCCGGCTAAGAAGAGGCCACAGAAATAGACACGTTGTCCTGTTCCGTTCCTGCTGTTGGCGAGCACAGCGGTCGACAAAGACTGGAGCTCCAGGAGTGACCGGTTGAGTAAGAGGATGTGGGAGTCAAAGCGTGCTCTACCACTTATAAAGATGGCGACGGGTACGGCAGTAGCCAAGATTTAATGCAGTCGCACGATAGACAAGGCGGTGCAGCCCGTGTGACTAACGACGATAATGATTTCAATGTTATGAATATCAGCGCCTACACTGTATATGTTTATGTGTAATAATGCCTCTCTGCCAAATACAGATGGTTGTAGGCCTGACCCGCAGGTCGCGGGTTCGAATCCCGGCTGCGGCGGCTGCATTTCCGATGGAGGCGGAAATGTTGTAGGCCCGTGTGCTCGATTGAGGTGCACGTTAAAGAACCCCAGGTGGTCAAAATTTCCGGAGCCCTCCACTACGGCGTCTCTCATAATCATATGGTGGTTTTGGGACGTTAAACCCCACATATCAATCATCAATCAGATGGTTGTAGGCCAGTCAAGCTGTACGGGGACAGCTATTTTTCTACAGTGCCCCATCTGTATCTCAAAAAGATGGCAAATAAACTTCATTATTACTATTATTATTATTATTAATATTATTATTATTATTATTATATAAAAACTACTCAATTCAAAGGCATGACATGATGGTGTGCGCAGGAGAGGCCAGTGATGCACTGCTGGCCAGGTTGCTGTGCGCTGGATCCCCCGACGCGGTCCTCGTGCCAGGCGCTGCGTCATGCGGTGGCCACCCTCACTCGGCTGGACGATTTCACCTCGGAGAAGATTGGCTCGGGCTTTTTCTCCGAGGTGTACAAGGTGACGCACCGCACCACAGGCCAGGTGTGCGTACTCAAGATGAACACGTCAAGCAGCAACCGGCCAAACATGTTACGCGAGGTGCAGCTGCTCAACCGGCTGTCGCACCGCAACATCCTGCGCTTTCTGGGCGTTTGCGTGCACCAGGGGCAGCTGCATGCTCTGACCGAGTACATTAATGGCGGAAGCCTTGAGCAGCTCATACAGCGCAGGTCTGTCCTTTTATTAGGTCAATAGTGTTGAGGTGACAAGAAAGATCAAATGTTTGTCTGCAAACAGAACGTCTAATCTATATTAAAACGTTCAGAAAAAGTAATGTAATTCTTTTTAAAGGTATTCGAAGGAGGGAATTAGTGAAGCTAAGTGAAGTAAGAAAGTGAGTGAAGTTTTCTAAGGATAAATTGTTCATAATGTGCTATAAACTAGTAAGCCATGCCAAAATTTTTTTTCAAGAGCAGGGCAGGAATTATAGGCTGAAGCAAAACTTGAAATGAGATGTGAATGATAGTTGAGGAATAGAAATTTGCTACAAACAGCATATACTATAACATCGTTAAAGTTAGGGTGAGCAACATTTGTATTTTGTGCATCAGGCATAAATGGTGTGTCACTTGGTTGTGCGGCAGTTGTGTTTTATATTGGCTTCACTGTTTAGGCGTTTGTTGGGTAAAAGAACAGATGGGGAAGGATGGGGGCTTAAATGCATGTATGTCAAGTTGAAAGGTGACAATTTTAGAAGAGCTTCTCACTGGGCAAGTTGGTGCATACCTGTGATGTGGGGGGGGGGGGGGGGCATTTGTTTCGCATAAGAGGGGAAGATAATATACAGAAACTCATGATGAAACAAGTGCCAAAAAGTGCGAACTCTCGGAAAGGACACAGGACAAGTGCCTAATGCAACTGAAGATTCTTATTCCGAAAGGAACACTTACATATGCATAACACGTATGTACGTCACCTGTAACCACCCCTATTATCGTCAACAATATTAAATGACAAGAAAACCACACCCTTAATCGATAGCATATAACTGGAAAAAACATGCTAAGCCCCCTTCCCCTCCTGAACTTGTTTATTGTTGAACAACACACTGGAGACATCTCGCACTGGCGCTACCTTTGAGGTCAAGATCCACTGCCTATATATACGGGGGGCTAGTGAACGGTTGGGCAGGTTGAGCAGTTGGTTCTTTCAATCAAGAAACTTGCAAGCAGACTCTGCCTGCGCTGGTGTTCTGGGACAAGAGTGGGGAAAGGGGAGGTACATGCGCAATGGGGCTGTTAACGCCACGGAGAGGGAGGATGCAGAAAGATTGAAGTGAGTGTAAGCTAGCAAATATCGGCAATGTGAGGCAAGAAAGGGGGAGGGGACGTGCATGCGCAATGGGGGTGTAAATACCACAGGGAAGGATGCAGAGAGATGAAAGTAAGCGTAATCTAGCAAATGTGTGCGTCGGCATTGTGAGGCGAGAGAGGGGGAAGGGACGTGCGTGTGCAATGAGGCTGTCGTGAATTCTCCATATGCTACCGAAGCAAGGACCTTGCTGCAAGATACAGAACCACGTAACATGTCGTGGTTCTGACGTACACATCATATAAATAAAATTATTGTAGATGAAACTTCCATCGCCCAGGTGAAAAAGAACGAATAAGTGAGAGCTGCTGAACGTGCTTCGCTCTGTCTGCCATCAGCTACAAAACGATTTGCTGTAGTATTTAATACCTTAGACAAGACGGCGATAGATTTTTCATGCTGAAAGGTACGTTCCCCGTTGGTATTTGGCAGCTGGCATTAATGGTGGGATGCGTTTTGTGACTTGCTTGCTCACAGTTTTTCAGTGTGTCGTTAATTTGCGACTCTCAGCTGTGCAGAGTTTACTATTTTTTAAACATTTCGAAATATAAATGGTTGTAGCCACCACACATCATGTGCTTCAATTCTCGGACATGCGAGGCTGTTTGCTGGAACACGCTTTGCACAACTGCGGCTCCTGAAAAAGGTTGTTTTGGTTAAAGTGCAGATATCCGCTTATAGTATGGACTCCTACGACTTACTAAAGGGGTCTGTGCTTTATTTGCTTCTACTGCTTCGTGAAGTAAATCATTCGTTGGAAGTTAGCACCATGTTTGCGTTGTACCTCGGTGCCTTGTGCTTTCTGTTCTGTACGTTATCGAATTTAAGATACCCACGTGTCCAAGCTCAGATTCTTTGACAATATCAGTGGCCAATGCCAGGTATCGTCGCCACACGTGATGGCATGGCACCAGCACCATAGCATGGCACCAAGTGTCAGTGCTCAAACATGCGCTGGCACCATCATCAGTGTGAACTATTTTTCAGGAAAGTTGAGAAGAGTGCTAAAAAGAAGAGTAACACTCTTGGTACTAAGTGCTTCTCTTATATTGTGGTGTGTTTGATTGGATAGTGCTGTTTCAAGGGACTGTGCAGATGTGAAGGTGCTTGACCTTGCAGATCGGAGCCTCTGTCGTGGGAGCTGCGAATGCGGCTGGCACTAGACATAGCACGAGGCATGGCGTATCTGCACTCGCGGGGTGTCTTTCACCGAGACCTGACCTCCAAGAACGTGCTAATCAAGCGCCATCAGGAGGAAGGTGGCGCTCTGCCCATCCTGACTGCTGTAGTGGGTGATCTGGGGCTGGCCGAGCGCATCCCCGTTTCTGGATGCCGCGACTTCAGACTGCCCGTCGTTGGTTCCCCCTACTGGATGGCACCCGAGTGCTTGCATGGTGCCTGGTAAGCGCCCATTTATTTGAAGAATTGCAAAAATAGCTCTGAAGATTGAATTTTTGGAAAACACTCATTTTGGAAACTGGCAAAAAAATGATTCAATTCTTGAAATATAAATGGTTGGCAGTGCAAACTGTGCCACCAATCGAAAAGGCTGCTCGCAGGTTCAAAACGACACTTTATGATTACATGGAAGAAAGGCATACGGAAGACACAAAGTAGCAACAGAAAAATAAATTAGTAACAATAGCGTCCTTGGCAATATAGTCAAGCCCGTTATAGTGAACCTCAGATTAACGATTTCTTAGATTAATGACTTTATCTAATTGTATCTCCCTTTTATCCTCCAACACTTCCAAATCATCATCATCATCAGCCTGACTACGTCCACTGCAGGACAAAGGCCTCTCCCATGTTCCGCCAGCTAACACGGTCCTGTGCTTGCTGCTGCCAATTTATACCCGCAAACTTCTTAATCTCATCTGCCCACCTACCTAACCTTCTGTCTCCCCCTAACCCGCTTCCCTTCTCTGGGAATCCAGTCAGTTACCCTTAATGACCAGCGGTTACCCTGTCTACGCGCTACATGCCCTGCCCATGTCCATTTCTTCTTCTTGATTTCAGCTATGATATCCTTAACCCCCGTTTGTTCCCTAATCCACTCTGCTCTTTTCTTGTCTCTTAAGGTTACACCTACCATTTTTCTTTCCATTGCTCGCTGCGTCGTCCTCAATTTAAGCTGAACCGTCTTTGTAAGTCTCCAGGTTTCTGCTTCGTAGCTAAGTACCGGCAAGATACAGCTGTTATATACCTTCCTCTTGAGGGATAGTGGCAATCTACCTGTCATAACTTGAGAGTGCTTGCCGAATGTGCTCCACCCCATTCTTATTCTTCTAGTTACTTCTATCTCGTGGTTCGGCTCTGCGGTTATTACCTGCCCTAAGTAGACATAGTCTTTTACAACTTCAAGTGCACTATTACGTATCTCGAAGCGCTGCTCCTTGCCGAGGTTGTTGTACATTACTTTCGTTTTCTGCAGATTAATTTTAAGACCCACCTTTCTGCTCTCCTTGTCTAACTCCGTAATCATGAGTTGCAATTCGTCCCCCGAGTTACTCAGCAATGCAATGTCATCGGCGAAGCGCAGGTTACTAAGGTATTCTCCATTGACTCTTATCCCTAACTGTTCCCATTCTAAGCTTCTGAAAACCTCCTGTAAGCACGCGGTAAATAGCATTGGAGAAATTGTGTCCCCCTGCCTTCCCCCCCTGTCCCCCCCTGTCCCCCTGACTTCCAAATAACGAATAGCAATTTGGAAAAGCTACTTGCAGCTGTAGAGATAATGTCCAGCACCGTAAGTGCCACTATCATCATCAGCAGAGCTATAGTCAAGCCCGTTGTAGTGAACCTCAGATTAACGATTTCTTAGATTAACGACTTTATGTAATTGTATCTCCCTTTTATCCTCCAACACTTTCAAATAACGAATAGCAATTTGGAAAAGCTATTCGCAGCTGTAGAGGTAATGTCCAGCACCGTAAGTGCCACTATCATCATCATCAGAGCGCCTGCGTATTTCTATCTGCCCACCCTGTTCAATTGTGCAATAGCCCTATCGCCATCACCATCCCCTGGTGCTAGTTTTTTTTTTATTTATTTATTCTTTCCACATCAGGTTTCGCTTTGTGCTTTTGTTTTTGTCAGACGGCTTGACCTGCACCATTGTTCTACAGCGGTTTTTTGGGGGTTTTTGTTGGCAGTTAAGTGTTCAAAATGAGCTCCAGAAGCAGCATGAAAGAAATGCTACGACAGTGAAAAATGCGAGGCGGGTGACCTATAATGGCGTCGCCGCCGATTAACTGTGCGTTGCTCGAACACTACACACAGTGCGACGATGAAGCATGCTCGTAATAGTGAACTGAGCTGATGACCGAACACCTATATCATTTGCTGATATAAGAAAATGGCGACGAGATCAAAAACAATGTTGAAACAGCGCACGCACAAATCAGCATGAAGAATCGGTATTTAATACTGACGCTTCGCACGTGTTAGAAAAATGCAAACGCTTAAGAGTTCTTCTTTTAGCAGTCGAGTTGCCCACATGAGGATAGATCACGCTTTTTCTCTAATAAACGTACACTGGTTATGTAATATTTTGTGTTTATTTTTTCACTTTTATTCGAGCAGCATAACCCATTCGTGAATGTATACACAACACAGCTAGATGACTCACATGTTTTCATTTACGATTTTTGCGAAAATTTTTAATACTTTCATTACAACAACTTTTCAAAATAATGAATGAATTTCGCCAGTCCTTTGAGATTCGTGTCGAGATTTCGCTGTATCAGTCTCAGACAACCCTGGCTCACCCATTGGGGAGTGGAACGCTGTGGGCGCTGCAAGGAGACAAGCAATGCGCAAAGCATTCAAGAGGTTGGCGACTGCTTGTAAACGCTGATCAAGAAAGTAATGTCTTGCAAAAGAGAAGCACGGCATGATGTCAGCAGCCCATGTGAAGCCGCGTGTAGCTCCAACCTGTGGACTGCATCCCAGAGCATAGACGCTAGGGCTCAATTATCCAACTTTGTCGAACTCCCAGCACCGAATGCCCACTCTTCCTTTTCTTCTACACCTACCAGGCTTACCACACTGGCGCATTCTTCCGCGTTCGCTGGCGACCTCGTCATTGTCTTGTAGTGCACATCACAGACCGGCCCCTATTTCAGGGGGACGTGCCTTTCAGAACCAACTTTCTTGATGAAAATTGGCACAGACACTAACAATGGCCTCATAGTGCTTCCATAAAAGTTTCAATGCAATAGCACAAAAACTTGATGAGAGAGAACTTATTTCTTCATTGAACCTTGTGGAGGAGTTGGAGGATTTATAAAATAAATAGTTGTTAATTACTGGAAGTAAAGTAATGTTTGATGAGGGGGACGGAATTCACAAAATAATTTATTTAAAACACTAAAACTTGTAGTTTACATTTTCTCGAGCGACACTACATTGAGCACACTTGCATTACAAACAAGCCCTACGAAGAAGTTCAAGGAGCGTTACATAACAACTGGAATAAAAATATGTGAAGTGGTTGCCTAGGTATCTGCTCCACAAGCTGAGCATAACCAAAAATACAGTAGGTACATTAAGAAAACTGCGTTTAAAGTTCCGCCTTCTCTGTGCGTCTCTAAAACACTTGAAATTGGGATCTTTGGTTTGTATTGTGATGTTTAACTTCTCGGACATGTGGCCTCCTCCTCCTTTGTTGCATCCATCCCCCTATTTTTTTTTTCATAACCTCTTTTTTTTTAAATCTACAAAGAACAAGTATGGATTTCATACCAAGTTCTCTGCATGAAGGAGTGTTGTGTTAGGTGTGACAGAAAAGAGTGTAATTGAATAAGCCCATATACTGAAGTGGTTACACATCTTTCTTGTGTTCAAGCTGTTGCTAGTGTAATTGAGTACTTCTTGATTACAAATATAGACTAACAATTTTTATATAGAGAGAGGTATATTGCACCAGAAAATGGCTCACACCATGACAGCCTATGCCTTCTTTCCAAATATTGAACAGTTATGGGCAGAGTTAATTTCCAGACTCCCAGCTTTTTCCTCGAATAGCTTCAACACCAGCTAAGGAGGGAAGGTGTTTGAGGTTCGGAATTGGTGCCCCGCGATTACTTCAGTGCTTGGTGGCAGCGTGAAGGAAGAGCCATTGTCGGTGAAGACACGCTTCATTGCAGCACTCGGGCCTCGGCCCAGGTCCAAGCCCAAACCTCAGCTTTCTAATTCACATCCAAACATCCTCTTTTCAACCCTCATTTAGTAGACAAGCACTGCTCACAACAAGCCAATCCCACACGGGGGTTCACATCACCATAACCCATTAAAGAAACACTTTCATGACAGACACTGCATCGGTAACAAACACGTTACAAAATACAACACGCAAGAGTTCATTGCACAACACGTGGCATCACACTCTCTTCCCTCTTAAGGGTATATATACACTGTACTTGAGAAGAAATGCCTGATATATTCATGTGTTTATAAAGAAAATTCAGAGTGTAGTTGAGTTTTTGATGCTGATTTCAAAATAATATTTACTTTTCCTCTAAACCAATTAGTTTTTGAGATATCCTAAAATAATTACTTATTGTTTGCCGGTGTGATGACACAAGAAATTTGTATTGCAGAGCTACTATTGGCTCATGCCTGTGTACTAATGAACATAGGCCACACAACGGTAGGAGTGCTTTCTTGATTTGATAATTTTAGCAAGGTTTGTCGCACCTTGCGTTTCAGTGTTGCAGACACACCCACTTTATGCTCCGATTTCCAGCAAAAATAAAATTTTTGAAGATCTTAATCACAAATTCACACCAACCATTGTGTAAACGAAAGATACAGCTACATGTCACTACAAAAAGGACAGTCCTAGCTGCTCTGGAGGCAGAGATATCTTTTCGACAACTTTGCAACTGCAGCAAAATTTGAATCCTGAGAAATCATGCAAAAACACAAGTCCATTTTGGACAGACAGTAGCATGGAAAAGCTGTTTATTTACAATGATTTGCAAATTCAGCTTTCTCAGTAGGCACCAGGCATGTAGTCCTTCTGTTTTGCGTCACCTAAAGGACGTTTTTTCAATGCCCGCTGCATGTTTTCTGTAGAGGTATACTTGCGAGCTGATGTGGTCGCCGTGTGCTCGTCTGCCGACTAGGCCGTCGGTTCGGTGACAGTACTGACGCCTATGTGCGACGAATGTGTGCATCATCTGCGATCCGTCGTATGGTAAAGCAATGTTTTCTGGCTTGTCCAGATTGAGTTGTTAATGTTGCAGACTGAACTGGCGCACTTGCTCACCAATTTCAAGGCTGTAAAAGCAGCGAGGTGTTAGTTTCTTTTTCATGTAAGATTGCCACATTTTCGAGTGGAGGCCATGGCGCAATATGTTCATCGTTGCGGACGCGTCGTTACAAACACTCTACCT